GCCGTAGTGGGAGTGGAAAGGAGAGGGGGGCGCGAAACTTTCTTCCTTTTCAGCGAGCGAGCCAGGCCGCGGTGGAGGTGGAACCCTTGTCCCGTCCCGTCCCTCTGAGATCCCACGAGCCTGGTGGTCAGTGTGCGTCTGGCCGGTGCAAGATGTGGGTCACGGCGTTGCTCGCGGTCGCGACCGCCGTGCTCGCGTTGTTGCTGTTGCTGCCGCTGTACGTGATTCACTGGTCCTGGGCCGCCAGGCTCACCGCTCACGTGCCTGGCCCCAAGCCACTTCCACTCATCGGCAATGCTCCCGAATTTGGGAAAGGGCCTGTCGGTAAGGTGCTTGCATGTGTGCCTCCGTCATGCGCCATGCATTAGTATCAGTCCGATCATGATAAGTAAATTATTCAGGAAGCGCTTGGAACGAATCATGCCGACCATTAAGTGATAGTCGTGAATGTTGATTGAAGTTAACCAGGGCTATATATGCCCTTTAATATGTAGTATATATTTAGAATAATGCTAATTCGTTAATTCGCTTGTAGTTTGGGTACGTCAAAGAATGGTTATCGTTAAGTTGCCCCGATCCCTTCAATTAAAATAAAGCAATAGCTGAGCTAAGTATTCTTTAATAAACTGAAATGTGCGTTAATTACAAAAATTATTAATTATGATTTATTATTAAATCAGATCAATAAATTGTTACGTATTGATTGTTATTGAAACTCATTCCTAACGAAGCAACGTTTTAATTTTATTTCTTCCGTTGCTTGAGAGTACCTATTACATGGTTCAGAACATTGATAATGTGTGCTATACATAATGATGCAGTACATTTAATGTTCCTTGTTTTCTCTCTCTGTGTAATACACGTCTGTTTAGGTAAATAATGACAAATGGTCAATTTACACGACATACATTAGTACGTAAATGTTTACGATGAAATAGTAGGTAAGAGAGATAGGATATTATATATAAATCTATATATACATTATATATAGTATATATAAACCTCTTATATATACATATAAGAGGTTTACATTACATTCACCTTAAACATCAGATAACTTTTTCCTCGAAAGATGTTTCATCATTTTGTTTGAAGGTTAAAAATGAAGTATTTGGTCCTGGTCTGTTTTGGTTCATGAAAAATATTTTGTTAATTGTGTATTGAAGTATTGCGATGTAGAAAAATCCAAATATTTGTTTAGTAATAAAAAATTAATCAATGTAATTTAATTCCTCAGAGTTCATGAACAATATGACAAAACTGTGGCAACAATATGGGAGTGTCGTAAAAATTTGGCTGGGTCACAAGGTATGCATCATGACAGCAAAACCTCAACATTTAGAGGTAAGTGTACTACTGTATTTACATTATGCCTAATTTCCTTCCCACTACAGAAATATTAACCGTCAGAATGTGTGCAAAAACTTACTCAAAGTTGCTCTAAAAAATCGGAGTAAATAAACGATCGTCGTTTGTGACATCCTGTGGCATTTTGTGGCGTAAAAACATAATTTTAAAGAAAGCATGGACGTGGAGAGAAAATGTGGACATGCAAATAGATACGCTGCATAGCTCGCTTATCGATATTTACTTCACGATTTCTCATTGTATCCTATTTACTTTTGTACTCGTACATCTATAAGTTAGCACCTTACTGTAGCGTTTCCTTGCGGAGAAGTGAAGAAGCTCTAGCAAAGTAGAGTCCAATTAGTCGTATATATAAAGGAACGGTAAAACATTTAGTACTATCCTCATTTTTGGAGAACTCTCTGTATTTTCAAAAATTGCCCAAAATTGAAGCTTGAGATTCACAACCACAAAATTGAAAATGGAGATTTTTGACTTAGACAAAGTCTGCTCCAAAATTCAGCTTTTAAAAAAAGATCATGTACACGCTTTAAAAAAAACGAGTAGTTTTCGCGTTATTTGGGCTTGGAATTTATAACGTAATTTATAAAAATACATTTTCTCAATATGTATAAAATCCAGTATCTAATTTTGTTGTGACTTGATCGCAATGAACGCCCACTGACAACTGCCAATGTTGTCGATCCCCATGTGTTAAACATATTTTATGCATTACAATGCATTATGCATACATTAAAATATTTAAAACTTTCACCTTTTTTGTGCTCATGATTGTATCTTTCTTCTTCAGGTATTCATGAAAAGTAATACGAATATATCAAAGAATTTTAGTTATAAATATTTACATGATTGGCTGGGAACCGGTTTACTCACTTCAACAGGTAGGAGATATTTGCAAATGCAGAAAAATTAATCGTCTATCGAAATTATTTTAATCCGTACTTTCTTGTTCATTTGAGTATATAGGGATTAAGTGGAAGGAACATAGAAAAATGATAACGCCTGCATTCCATTTCAAGATTTTGGAAGAATTTGTGGATACATTTCATCAAAACTCAGATATTCTGATTGATTCTCTGAAAAAGCATGTGAAGGGATCTGCATTCGATTTTTACGAGTACATAACACTCGCTACTCTGGACATCATTTGTGGTAAATATAATGTAATTAAATTGCAATATGATGCGCTTAACAACAGTATTGCTTGGCGGTTCGTGGTGCAGTTTGTAGGTGGTTGAACAAAGCCAACGTTATGAAATACTAGAACCTCAAACCCTTAAATATAGTAGTTTGAATCTCATTTACATAATAAACCCATAACAAGAATTTTGTGTACTTTTACATTACTACTTTTTTATTATAAATATTTTCAGGTTTTACAGAATTCAGCTTTACACTCTACATTTGTATTGTTGACTTAGTATAAACTTAATGTTAATAACTTAATTCTGAAAAGCTAGCAATTAGCTTAAGCAACTCAGCATTGCTCGGGCATTTATGTATCACAATTATATATTACAATGCCCAAGTTGTGCGTGAAGATGCTTCACATTTGCACATTCTTCATTCGTTTACGTGAAAAAAAATCTCCCCGCCACGCCTTGCACCACCACCCACATCATCCTGCCTCGCCTCAGCCTGCCTTGTTCAGACCCAACCTCTGTCTACTCCACTTACTTTCTCATTAAAACAATTTTGAAATAGATGCTAAAAAAAATGAAATATCTTGAAAACACTTTTACGAATTCAAGTATTATTATAATGTAACTTAACTTACGAATATTTCCAGTACTACCTGTTCACGTTTTACCACCACCAGTTTAATTATACTCTTTGAGTACCACTAGTTTCCAATCTGTTCCAAGACCTATTTTAATCCTCTACACTATTTCTTTGAAAATGAAACCAGTAACAGGTTTGCATATAACCCCTGATTAATGTGATATCTACTCGTAGTAGTGTAGCTTGCAGGGAGGCAAAGTAGGCATCGAAGAAAAATGCAAGGCGAGAAAGTATGATGTATACATTACATTTCAGTAGAAGATATTCTTCAATTCTGAGTCTGTTTTCAATGTATTTCATTTAGCATTTCTAATTAGATATTTAATTTGCTTCATAGAACATTAAATATCAGATCTATTGGAATTTGTCTAATTTCAGAAACAGCTCTTGGAGTATCTGTATATGCACAACAACACAGTGAATCAGAATATGTGGAAGCAGTGAAAGGGTAAGCACTCAATCTCTCAATCTCAGATTTTCTATTTGTAATTTAATTCAACGGACAATAATTAAACGGTATAGGTGTCAAAAAATAAAAATCTAGTTTTGTAGATTCAATATCAGGGATATAGCGTGTCAGAGCTAATAAAAAGTTCATGGTGGCTTTTACTACTTCTTTATTGAAGAAAATTAACTGGTTATAACTCACAGCAGTTTTTACTGTTTTTGACGGCGACGTATGCAAGGCATTTTGGTCTCGGGAGTACCGCTGCCTTTTTGAAAATTTAATTACCTTTCATTTCAGCAACTGAGATTACTAAAATAGTTGACTGCCATTTTCGTAGATTCAAAATAGCAGTAAGAAATAATTTTACTTTCTCGCTACCGCTTACGCAGAAGAGAGAAAGTTATGTTAGGCTGTGCGAAAAAACGGCGAATTTTGTACAGAAAGACATTATTACAGGGCCCTGGCAACAAAACTGTGAATAAATGCAGTTGCTAAATTTAGGAAGAAATCCTCTAACATATGTTGTTGCCTGAATCTATGTTTTCTGGGTCCATGATAACGAAAAATCGATTGACGGCAAACGTTTGTCTGTCTGTGAACAAATCTAGCGACTAAACCGTTCATCTGATTTTCCCCAAAATTGGTATTTCCTAATCGATCTGGCTGATGCCGCACCCTCTTGAATTCGAAACCGGTTTCATTTCGGGGGATACTTTACATAAAGCCCACAAGGCCTTTTTCAAAATTTTAAAAAAAAGCTTCATCGGTTTTTATTAAATTTTGTTATTGGGTAGTGTGAATGACGTTTAAGAGAATGGTGCAGCTCTCATGTTCGCTAAAAACGGTGATTTTTCGAAAATTGCAAAAGTTCAAAATTTTTTCGATGTCTTCCTACAGCTACAATATTAAAGATAGACTTTTTTTTAATGAAATCCGTTCTCTAAAGTTAGATTTTGAAAGAAGGTCATGCACAATTTTTCAAAAAGTTGAGTAATTTTCGCGTATTTTGCGTGAGTATACGGGCGAGAAAATGCGCGCTGTGTAGCACCACTAGCTTCCAAGGAAATGAAAAATCTGACGATGACCCTCCCCTAGTGGTGTAGTACTGTAAGTTGCCAGCAGATAAGAAATTGAAGGACGCCTGTCTCAATTTACTTGTGGTATAATTATCTTCAGAAAAATATTTTTGTGCTGAAGTTTTAATGATTATAAGATTACGAATAAAGTTTTATCAAAAAATACATTATTGCATAAAGTGTATGTTATTTCCATTTCAATTCTGATTGAATGTTACAAATGACTGAACTGCTATTTTATAGTTCGATTATAACAGAAAGACCTTTCAAGGTCACGAGCTAGCAAGAGAAGAGGAACACGGTATTCCGATTGCGAGCTTCAATACCAAAAAATTAAGGCAAAATGTTCCGACACTAGTACAATTTGTAGCCACCACGTGGCAGCCCTAAAATAGTAAAATTTACTTTACCGGTAACGTCTGAACCAATGGTTCGATTTTCGATCTATAAACGGCATCTGACGCCTTTTTAAAATAGAATTTACGCTACGAAGCCCTTTTTCCAAAAATCTAGCAAAAACTCGAATTTGAAATTAGTTCTCAAACTTCCGATAAAAAAATTAAAAAATGTGGGCTTATAGCGCGTCGTCTTATGCAAATCGCCTGTCCCGTAAGTGCCACCGGGGCTGGCCGCACGCCGCCGGGCCTGGCCGGGCCGCAACGGCGAAGGGAGGCGGGGGCGAGATGTTTCCCCAAACTTCACTTTACGCTCCTATTCGACCGATTTGCATGATTGTCAGGAAGTTGGATTCAGGAAGCATGTCGCCATCGCACTATAAGCCCACATTTTTTAATTTTTTCTCGGAAGTTTGAAAACTAATTTCAAATTCGAGTTTTTGGTAGATTTTTGGAAAAGGGGCTTCGTAGTGTAAATTCTATTTTAAAAAGGCATCCAATGTCGTTTACAGATCGAAAATCGGACCGATAGTTCAGATATTATCAGTAAAGTAAATTTCCCTGTGATAGTGCTGCGGTCTATTGAATTTTCTTACAAGTATTTTTCAGTGCATTTAGCCTTAAAACGTAACGAAGATCGCGATTGTGTCTCTCTCTCTCTTGCCAGTTCGTGACCTTGAAAGGACATCCGTTTTAATTGGAGTAAATTTGTATCTTCTCTGGCGTGATTTGTATGATTACAGGATGGCGAACATGGTAATGAAACGTTCTTTTACACCTTGGATGTTCTTTGACTTCCTTTTCAATTTGAGTGAAGATGGAAAAAAACAGAGAAGATATCTAGAAATTTTGCATGGCACTACCAGAAAGGTATGGCTTTCGCAAAAGCTGCATTATGAAAAATATTAATAATGGAGTTCAAGAGGCAAATGAACTTAATCGTTTATTCTAGGTAATCCACTCAAGAAAGGAGGAGTTCATGAAGTTAGCTGCAAAAGAGACTGTTGTTGATGAAATAGGTAATTTTTTTCTCCAAAGGAATATTTTACGATAACCAGTTACGGCTCATTACAGTTGTAGCGTATTTTCACTACTACCATAAATTCTCGTTAATTAAATATATTTAATTACAATATGCTTATATGTTTAATTTGTGTAATTACTTCCATGTGTCATACAATCCCATCAATATAATCTTGCACTAGCTGTTAATCAGATGCTAGATAATAATCGGCGCGTATACTGTAGGCGTGATGGTTAACTCCAAGATGCTACCCGGTCGCCACTATGATAAAGCTTGAACAAACAGACTGCCGACGGAGCGTTGAGAAGCGTTTAGCTCCATGATGTTAGTCAACAGTTTTAAAGAGTTCGGGATGGGATCAGCGTGGTCAGACGGAGCACGTGAATGGCCTTCGGATCGCTGTCGCGTAATTTAGAACTTCATGGACCAATGGCAGTCCTGAAGTGAACGAAGGTGGCCGGGGTACGCAAACTTCACTTAGAAAGCTGCGTATTTGTCAGCGCAATTTGTGGTACTTCGTAAGAGGACATCTCTTGATTTATTAAATTATACAAACGTTTCAACTTATATTTAAACAGAAAACGTACAAATTTCAGTAGTTTTACAATAATTGTTCATCTAATTTTAAATTTAGAATAAAAATATTAAAATTTAGTAATTAACATTTTATACCCACCATGATATGCCTGCAGGATCCGTTTAATCGTGAGGTCGTTCTTGGTTCTTTTAAGTAGAGAACGATGTAGATAGATTTGCAAATTCGCTCGGAGGGCTGAGTTTGTTGATTGAGACAATTCGGCAATCCCGTCATATGTTTTGTGAACCACTTCGTATTATGATCCATCAGTGTTTTGGAGTCACCAGCCGCCACTGGCGAAACTATTTTAAAAGTACTCTTCTGATCTTAATCATTTCTCTTCCCATAGGACAAAAGAAAAAAATGGCACTTCTAGATATGTTATTAGAAACTTCAAGAAAATACGGTAATTTGACAGATGAAGAAATTCGGGAAGAAGTGGATACCTTTATGTTTGAGGTGTGTGCAATGTTATATTTCTATTTACAACAATAAACTGCCAGGCGATTTAATTTTTTGTCTATTGTCTGTGGCATCATTTCCAGGGACATGATACAACTGCATCAGGAATTTCATTTTGTTTATGGCTGTTAGGATCACACTTGGATATTCAGGTTAAGACAGTTTTTTCTCTACGTATTTTTCTTTTCTTTTGCTTGGAAATTGAATGGCATCTTGACTTTATGATGTGAATATTTTCAGACGAAAGCATACAATGAATTGAGAGACATTTTCGGAGATTCTAATCGTAAGGCCACATATAGAGACTTACAAGAAATGAAGTATTTGGAATGTGTAATAAAAGAAACACTTAGACTATATCCGAGTGTACCACTATTTGGTCGTGAGTTGGATGAGGATGTAAAAGTTGGTAAGAAAAAAAGTTTTATAATTTTTGTTTTTGCTGGATGATTTCTTGCCAATAGGTAAGAGTTTAAATGTTGAAATACATTGTAAATATTTTTTTAATGAATTGAATGTGACTAACAATTTTTTAAAATTCGTTTCAATTGTTTTAAATATTCTCACAATAGAAAATAGTGTGAAACCGGAAGTAATACATGACACTTTTTAAATACACACATTTTATTAAAAACTGATATTAAAAATGTATGCATGTTTTACTTACGTCAATACGTCAAATACACTTACATTACACGCTACACTACCACATATGTTGGAATACCGGTCGGGAACTTGGGGCTGGTGTCGGTTGGGGCTGCTCCTCTAATGGGGAGATTCCTTGATGGGAAAAACCTCGCTGGCCGACGGCAGGTCGACGCCTAATCTCACCATGGGGGATGGAGGAAGTAAACCGTCTCCAGAGAAAAACCATGCACTACACGTACGGAACTAATGACATTAGATGTTGACGCGCTCAGAATCAATCAAAATCAGGTACATAGTTCACCCAAAAATTGCCATTGGGCCTGCGAAGGAGGGGTGCTCTTTGACCGTCTGTTGGGACTATTCCGGCGTATACAAAACCGTCTGGTGTCGGCCGACCACAATTTCAGCCAAAATACTCTTTACTTGGGTCGATAAGGGATCGACGGCAGCTTTTGTGTGGCGCACTAGGGCAGACGCACGGTATGTATACTTCGAATATTTTCATACGCACATTTTCATCGTAATGGAATGAACAATAATGGTTGAAAATCATTTAATTCTGTCGTATTCAAGATTTCAAACAACTCCGATTCTTTGTATTGCCCCGTAATTTCAAAATAACAGGGATTTTCAAATAACATTTCTCAGAGTGCAAACTTCTTGTATAACTGAAGACTCACCTTGCAGCTCCGAAGATTATTTTGCTCTAGAAATAGCCTACTCACATACTGAAACATTTATAATATTAAATATGAATCTTTTAAAATCAATTGTTTTCTTTCTCTCCAGATGAATTAAATTTGCCAGCGGGAACCAATGTTGTCTTCTTAACTTACTTCTTGCATCGCGATTCCGATGTGTATCCAAATCCGGAAAAGTTTGATCCAAATAGGTTTCAACCTGATAACATTGAAAAGAGACATCCTTTTGCATTTCTACCCTTCAGTGCTGGACCAAGAAATTGCATTGGTAAAAAACACCCTAGAGATTTGATCACATAAATTATGTTTAGTGGTATTTAAATTATTTTATTTTATTTCAGGACAAAAGTTCGCAATGTTAGAAATGAAAGCAATTATATCAGATATACTGAGAAATTACAAGGTAATTGCTGCTGAAAATGTGCCTGTGGAACTTAGTCTGGAAATAGTTCTTCGCACGAGCAACGGAATTTTCATGAAGATTGAAGAAAGATGAATCGACTTCAATGTGAATAAACCACATTAAATAACTGTGCTTGGTGTTAGTAGTTCTGAGCTCTTTTGATGATAATGTTGACTAGCAATAGAATGTCAATTGAAAAGCAATGACATTCTCTTGCTGAAGCTGATTTTGGTTTGCAAAACAGTTATTAAAAGAGATGATTCAAGAACTGGTAATGCATAACCTAGACATATTTTAAGTCCATTTCATTTGTTACATTTAGGAAGTCATAAATAGTTACATTATCCTGATGTGATCTTTGTTGGTTTAGGCTCAAGACTAGAGAATGAAAAGATATTGAACTTTAATAAGAATTGTGTTAGGTTGCAATGTCAACAAATGAAAAAAATTGTATCAATTTAACAAGACTGAAAATATTTTCATTTTCAATAAACAGTTTAGTGTCCTTACCTCAGAGCTCTGAACAATTTAAAATATTAGGATGGCATCCATTAGTAAGTAATTAATTTATGAATTATTCATTTTTGTAAAAACATTTTCAATTTTACTATATTATGTACTAATAGAATATAAATCTCTACCTTTGTTCAAAGAAGTCTAGTTTGAGAGAAGTTTATCAACTACAAAAAACAAATCGTTCAGCTACAAAACGACAATGCACTGCCTCTATAAGGACGGAAACATTTCAACCCGTACTATGCTATAAAAATTATTTAGAAACGCGCTTTTATTGACATTTATACCACCTCCATAGCAATCGGTTGAGTTCTTGAAACGATTTTTAACGTTTCCTCTGACGTTCAACATGACGTCACAGTTTTTACTTTCTCACCTTGTAGAAAAAGAAAGTATTGTAATGGTGCACCGGAAAACGGCGATTTTTCGACAGAAAATCTCTTCTTGCTGAGTCCTGGTAATGGATAAACCTTGATCCTATATTTAGTAAAGTTCCTCCTCTAATACGCTGTTCTCATACGCCCTAGATTCAACACTAGCGCCTAAAGTTGAGACGCCCCCCCCCCCATAAAAATTCCCCCTTTTGATCCGCGCGAACGGCCTTGAAAGATTGAAACGGATCTTTTGTTTTTTGAAGGTTATTTACATGAAACCTAAAAAATATTTACAAAATGTTCTCAGAATTGTCTCCTATTGTAGCGTCTTTGATGGGGAAAGAATTCACAGACGAGAATGGTTTATCATATATTTAATATTTATTGGATACTAGCTGACCCGGCGGACTTCGTACTGCCTCAGCGATAAATAAAAGTCCTAAACTTTTGTATAAAATGATTTTAAAACAAACAAATCGAATCCGTATTTAATAAAAAAGCATTTTTTGAATAAAGCATGGAGTTTTATTATTATTTTCCGCACATCATGTTGCTTACTTACAAAACACAGTTTTTCTGAAATACTAGCTACTTATAAGGTTTAAATATGATATTTACAGACACACACTGTTATGATACAGTCTGTTAATCAATTTAAAGCTTTCTCATAAACTATATATTTTTTTTTGATTTGTGGTGCATAAATAAACAAAGAAGACGGTTTTCCGACGCGGGAACACGCGACGCTAAACAGGGAAACTCTAAGTTGATTCCACAAACGTCTAATGACTGTCCTTCCGATTTATTTATGGTCATCGCAAAGGCCAGACGTACTGGAAATTGTAAGCGTTTAAAATCGAATGGTAAGTCCGTTGGAATCATCGATATCCGCGGGATCAAGACATCCTCTCCTTTGTATTTTCCTTTTATGGTTGTTGCCTCAATGACGTTATTCATCAGCTTTTTCACAGCCAGTCTTGTTCCATTGCATAGTCGAGGTTGATTAATATTACGCAACATGATGACAACTGATCCTACTTTTAACGGCAAATTGTGAGGTGGTAATCCAGGCAATTCCAGTGAATTCAAAAACTCCGTGGGATAGTTGACTACGTCATCCTGGTTCATAACTGTGTCGACTGATTTGAAGGAAACCAACTGTCCTGGAAGAAAATTCTGTCTGGTCGCATTGAGATCCTCGACATTTTTATATTTATCGCCGCCAATATTGCTCGTTCACCCATCCAATTATGGGTATTGAACTTTTGCGTTATATCTGGGATAACACGCTGAATAAGCTTCTCTTTTGAGTCTGTGATGTGACAAAAATCTTGTTTTGTGGAGTGTCTTTACGTACTGCTACAAATTCGATGACTTTAGGCATGCTTTTAGTTCATCAGCAACAGTTGATCGGGGAATAACTGGAAGAGTCTGACGAAAATCACCTGACAACAGAATCATGGCCCCACCATAAATATTTTGGTTGTCACGAAGATCTTTCAACGTTCTGTACAGTGCCTCCAGTAACCTCTTATGGGCCATTGTGCATTCATCCCAAACAATCAATTTGCATACCTGTAGGATCTTGGTCATTGCGCTATTTTTGGCGATGTTGCAAATTGGTGTTTCGGTGATTTGCATGTTTAATGGTAAATTCAAGGCAGAATGTGCAGTTCGCCTGCCTTCTAGCAGAGTTGCAGCTATTCCAGATGAAGCCAAATCTAGAGCAACATCATTTCGCGATCTGATCCTCGCCAAAAGCACTGAAATTAAAAACGTTTTTCCGGTTCCTCCGGGAACAGCAAGGAAATAAATTCCACCAGATCCACTGTTCACAGCTTCTATCAAAGTGTCGTACTTTGTTGTTGATTTAATTGTGGAACATTTGTACGAACTGTTTCGGCCAATGCTTCAAAGTCGTACTGTTGTTCTCTGTGCAACTCGTGGTTTAATGCATCGTGCAAATGACGATTGGGTGCTGTCATTCCCGAACACGACAATACTTTATTTGCCATCAATAAACACATATCTTCTATCATGATTAATGCCTCATTGTAAATTTCTTCAGTCATTTGTAGTGTAGGATTCAGAGTTTGACGGCGCACACAATGCAAAACATCCTCAGACATGTCATCTCTATACTTAACCCACAAATCTTTTGGATTCGAAGGGAAACATGTCGATATGATAATCACAAACAATGTACGAATTTGATGCGATGATAAAGATATTACGGAATCCTTGAGCGTATCATCCCAGTGCGAATCGTTCTCAAGTAAATGTAATAGTTGACATGCCTCACGGTAAGTCGCACACAGCTATCCATGAACTGTTCTCAGTTGTTTAAACAATGTCGGGCCACGAACATTCCCCAACAACAACCGTAATTAATAACATTCATCGTTATTTGGATGTACTGTGTAGATGCAACCCAGAGCGTCTGAAGCAAATACTTTTGAATGGCCTTCAACTTGTGTTCCTTGTTTTCGACGCTGAAACGATTTCGATAATGCGTTCCATGTGTAATAGCGTGGTATGTCAGCATTCAACAAAGTGCGAGCAAAATCAGCAGTTTGACAGACTGTGAAGAAACTTGTTAATGATGTCGACGGTGGATGTGCCGTCCAGTCTGCCGCGTTAGATTCATTAAAATAAACTCGTTGACCATTTTTTAAATGGAGTGCCAAATGGACTACTGTAGGGTGTCTTTCATGGATTGCAAATGAAAAGATACGCCAAATTGCTTCGTTGCTACTTACAGAGCGACCCATCTGGTACTGTGATATTTCATCCCTTGCATTGGTTACACCGAAGACAGCCATATCACTCCCTTTGTTAACATATTTACATATGTACTTTATCGACTTCATAGAGTTACAATATTCCACATTGATGCGAGTCTCAAAAGCTTTGGACAATATTGGTGAGTATGGCACAATCCAACGATAGTCTACATTAACATTTTGTCCTCTTACCTTCACAACTACCGATCTCCCATTGTCCGCAACTGATCGCCGACGATACAATGGGTATCCATCATTTCCCGTTATGGTTTCAGCAAGCCGGTCTCTTGGGTATTGCTTGGAAAACTTGCCGTCGACCATACAGGGTGAATTGTAGTTGAAAAGTCCGCAAGGTCCATGTATCATGTGTTTGGTAACTTCTGCATGCAATTTTGGGTCAACTATTTCATCTGAAATTTCAGCCGAAATTATGGAATCAACCTCATCTGGTCTTATTTTGTCCACTAACCAGACTAAAATTTGCGCATGTGGCAATCCACGCTTTTGCCATTCTACAGAGTACATCCAATAACGTACTCGGCCATACACACAATGCTTTATTGAGAAATTCACGAGAGATTTTAATTTTTGTTTAAAAACTCTGGCAGTTATTTCATGTCTGGTGTTTGGTTATGTAGTAATTCCCTCTCGATTTCGGACCATTCTGGGTTACATGTGAATGTAACAAATAAGTCTGGACGGCCATAATGCCTAACATATGACATAGAATCTTGAGCATATTCATGCATGTGGCGTGGGCGTCCTATATACGTGGCTGGCTACATTATTCACATTGCCATCGGCATTTATAGCATCGCGGAGATGAATGTATTCCTCTGATCGTAGCCGTCGTTGGTTCAAACGGATGTATGTCAATCGTTCAGTCTCAATTTTGACATATATGTCAACTGCAAACTGATGAAAAAGTCGTTGACACGTCAAAATATGATTTACTTCATCTTGACGGATCGTGAGTCTGTATGAATAGAAATTCATAGCACTAACTTTTTTGTAGGTTTCAGCACCTGCAATCAAAAATGAGAAATGTTTAAATTGTTACTTAGATGAATTGAATTTAAAATATTATTTAATCTTGTTCAATTTATTTACCTGTTGCTTGATTTACCATTTTGATATTAAAATGGTATCCATTATCCCCCTGCCAGAAGATCAAAGGATATTGTAGTGCATCATAACTCCTGTATGTTTCAGATACACGTTTTAAATCACTATTACGACAATGAAGCACAATATCTCTAGATTTTAAATTTTCTCCCACAATGACAATCTTCATAAATGGTAGGTGAATAAAACCTTGTGTGTTCACCGGTAGGTGTTTTGTCCGCTCAAATGATAATATTATGTCTATCAGATGGCATCCAATCCAATGCTATTTTGAACATGGTTACTAAATTGTTATTCTGATGAAGGGACGTTTGTAATTCTTGAAGAATGGTTCTCTTCACTGTTGGGTTGTGAGCACAACGATTATCAATTTCCCCATCTGAATTGCCCATAAAAATATGTAAAAATTGATGATCTGCATCAGGTAGTGGTAACAGTGTTCCCCGTAAGTGATAAATTTGTCCTTGCATCTGTAATTTTTAAAAATTTGTCCATTTATTTAAAATTATTTCCGATATATATACCTACTATATTAGATATATATCTTTAAATATAGTATATATAATATATATATGTTATACCAAACTTGAATATTATAAAAAAATATTCTGGTAATAACCTTGAAAGTGGGCATGAAATGTCCTGTATAATATGTTAGCGCAAATGATGTCATCTGGAAACAGCTATTATATTTCTGAATGTTGGCCAAGAAGTGCTTAGAATCATTTCCAATCCCAGAAACTAAAAACGTTAAGACCTGGTGGTGGGACCAATTGTGGCAATTTTACTTTGCCTCCAGCACAACATAAAATCCAGTGATTCACCAGTGTATTTAACGCCTTACAATGTTTACAAATTATTTTCATTTCCCAATTGTACCCGATTTGTCGGCACAATAATCAATTGCGGATCATAGTGGAATGCAGCTTCGTTCAAGAATAACAGAGCACTGCGTCTACGGATTCGCTCAATTTCATTATGTCTAGCTTGCTGTTGTGTTTGATGTGGCCAACAAACCTAGTTTGCATTCTAAGCCTACCTACTACATTGTCATCACCTAAAGAACGCAATTCAACTTAGCAATACGACTATTTTCTTGATCTGTCTCTCTCTGGTCATCAGTGCGGTTAGCACGTGAGGTAGCTCTTCGCACATTTGATTGTCTTGCGACGACCTAAGTCAGGTCGTCTTCTCCTCGGCATCGTAAATGAGAAAAATTCTCCGCTCATTTAGCAGTGTAA